GAACACAGTGTGATTTAAACACTAAAGAAAAAAGTATAAAATGAGCTAGTCGAGAAAAAATTCTGAAATGAATTCAAATTATTCACACATATGCACAATCAGGCCCACAGTAAGTGAGCAAAATAAACATATCAACTCATTAAAGATCTATCTGCCTGAATTTATCTTTGCTTTCTCTTCACTTCTTATGGGTTATTCAATCACTTCCCGTCATCCAGAAAAGGAAATATTGCACTATGAAGACAGAGCTATAATTAGATATTCTTCTGTTTCATTTCACATATATGACTGAATGAGAATGGATGGGAAAAAATATGAACAGAGATAATAATGGCAAGTTGAGACATTCAGTAAAAATTACATTTGGCACAGAATAACATCTCAATTCTTCCTCAGCACAGTAATGCTGTGTTTACTACAAAATTAGTTAAGTTAGCAGAAGAGATTTTTAATGAAAACAATTATAAATTTAAAATAACTGTGTTTAAAGCATTTAACAGTCCCTAAGGTCAAGTGATTACAGCAGTTACAAGACCCGAGGGACATGTTCACACCAAAACAAAGTGAATAAATTACCTCAGCCAGTGCCTGCAATCACTAAGTGACCACAGAGGTTATTCAATGTATAAGCCCAGCTGACTTCCACGCAAAACCAATAATGAAAATGCAACAGCCAAAGGGAAAAAGCGTTTAACTAGCAAAAGTTGCTGCAAGGGCTGAGAACTGGGGAGAATGGGAAAGGGAGGGTGGAAAGCAAGCTCCATGGCTGGGCTGTGGAGGCAAGGAGGAAGGATGAGCGTGGATGAAATGGACAGGCAAAACCCGAACATTTTTCCCAGCTGAAAGACCCAAATTGTGGCAAAGGGATGCAAAATCTAAAAGATATAAACCAGCAGGGCTTTAGTGCTCTCAGCCCTGTAAAACTGGGATATGTAATGCCCACCAAAGGACAAGCAAGGCAGGAGCACAGAATAATCATCTCTCAACTTTCCCCTTGGCTTTACTGCCAGTAAAAATTGGGGAGTCACTGTGTTTTAGTTATGCCATGATATAATTCTAATGGAGGCAAGACCTGGTTTTTACCACAGAGTGGGTAAGATGAGCTGCAGAATGAAAGCCAGCTTTGATCTGGCTTCTCTCCCTCATGACATAAATGACACAGATGCCTTGTCCTCATTGCAGCTCCACAACACAACCGCCAGGGGAGAAAACCAGAGCCAGGAAAGACAGAAAAACATTTTTCCGTAAGGACCACCTTGTATTTGATGCATTTGATTCTCAGTGTGTAGCTCTGGAAAAAGGTTCCTACCAACTATGGTGAAGAAAAGATGCTACTGAGGAAGCAAAAGGAATCCTGCTTGATCCTGGTATGTATTTTTTTAACTATAGCACATCATCACCTCTCATCCATGAAGGCATCAAATCTTCATCAAATCATCAAAACACACACAGTAAATAAGAAGATAATAATTGGTAAAACACAGCTAACACATTTTGGAGACAGGAGTCTGAAAAGAGAGGCAAAAGGACATGGCTGCCTTTGGTGGTTTTGATTCCTGGTGAGGAATATTTGCACTGAAGCAAGTATTCATCAACATTCCCACAGGTGAAGCAATTTGCTGGGCTTGCCCTGGGTCAGGAACCTAATTAGGAAAGGAACCTAATTACTGGTATTGTCATATATATATATATATATATATATATATATATATATATATATATATATATATATATAAAATTTTATATATTTATATATTTATGCATATTTATATGTATTTTTATATATTTATGACAATATATATCATTATATTATATTATTATTTGTTACATAATATAGTTATATATATAATATATTCTATTTTATTATATATTATTATGCAATATACATTTAATACATAAATAAGTATATATCATATATAAAATATAATATCTATATACATACACACATACATATAGACTTATATATGTGTATATACATATATATACTTGTATATGTATGTATATATATATGTGTATCTATACAAATATATGTGTATATATACAAATGTATCTGTATATGTACACATTTATATATTTGTATATATACGCATTTATATATGTGTATATATAGATATGAGAAAATGCAAGTGGACTCTCAGCATGTAAAAAAAGATTTTCTTTGTAGATGAACTATGAAAGCCTGAGGCTAAAGCCAGCGGGCCCTCCAACACTCAGAGCTTCCAGTTTCAGTGAAACTGCCTGCAAAATCTGCTTTTTTCAGATAAACACTACACTGTCTTCTCCAAGAAGTTATGCATATATGCTAAGAAAGCCCCCTGGTAAATTGTTGAGGCTGGAACACAATCTATCCCAAGGGTTATAATTCTTCTCTTGGGAATGTTATGTTGGGACCTATGTGCTAAAATAATATCCTCATGAACCCCCTGTGAGACGCAAGGAATGCCCAGAGGATGCCAGCACTGCAGGATGGCCCAGGGAAGGGTGAAAGCACCCTGGCAGAATATTTGGGCCGGCTTTCTGCAGCCCTGAGTGTTTTCAAATGCCAAGCACTGGCCACAGGCTCTGGCTGTGCCTAAAGAGCATTTGTGAAATTACTCAGGGGCCAAAGAGGAACTCAGGTGGCCAGAGCCTGCTCTCAGCAATGCACCAGGGAGATCTGTGCTCTCCAAGAGGCAATTCCTCCTCTGGAGCTGCAATTGCACACAGAAAAAGGACAGTTTTGAGCCTACCAAATCTAGTATCACCTTCTAGAAATTTCCGTTCCCTTCTAGAAATGAGAACAGTACAGGTAAGTTGCACTGGTGTAGTTAGAGAGCCCCACTCCCACGTGCACAGCAATAAAAAATTCAAATTCAAATGGGGTTTTGGAAATCAGAGGAGGTCAGGCAGAAAGAAGAGTATGAAGAAAATGCAAAGAAGGATGACAAGACAGACAATGTACAAGTTCTTCTATTTAAATATTCCTTTTGTAAAACCAAATGTTCCTGACATATCTCTTGATATGAAGGATCAGCCAAGGAACTCCAATGCAATAAAATTTGAGATGCTGAGAGAGATATGATAAAATAGGTAAGATGCACACAAGATAAAATATGCAGAGATGTTGCCATCACACAGCAGGCAAGGGAGAATGCAGTAAAACCTGATGATAGAGCTTTGCTCTGAAATACTTTTTATATATTAAAAATATATATAAAAATCCATTCTGATGTTTTTTTGAAAAGCAGCTGCTCAAGTCACCCTCAGCCCTGGGTATTTCTAGAGCAAGGGGTGAGCTGGCAGTGCACAACCAGGCTGCCAGTGGCATTGCCAACAACAGGAAAGTTGTTCCCACACAAGTTCCCCTCCTTCCTTTCGGTTCTCTGCTCTTACTGTTGAACTGCCCTCAGTTCCAGCAACATGCTGTCAAATGCAGCAGAATATCAAAGGTGTTTGTAGTGGGTTTGGTTTGTTAATTTGAGGGTTTTTTTGGTTTATGTTCTAATGAGTGTGGTGGGTTTAGTGCGGGCTAATCACCAGTGCATTCACTAGGATGCACTCTCTTATTTCTTGTTGTGAAGTAGGACTAGGGGAAAGGTAAAGCTTAAAACTCTCAAAGGGTATAAAGAGAAATTTCTTAATGGTAACTAAAAGAAAAAGTAATAAAAATTATAATAAAACTTTTAGGACACTTCTCACCTTTCTGTAACCTTTTCGTTCTCACTGATAACGTAAAGAAACAAATCCTAAAATTTTAGTTAGTTTACTACTTTTAGAATAATCTTTCTTTAGTTTACTTAGGGAGACAAGTCTTTTTTGTTAATGTTATGGAGACTTATCTGTAAGAAAATAGGTTTTTTGTGTTTCTTATTATGAAGAGTAGCTGCTTGAGGAAAATTGTAATTGTGAAATTTCTTCTATTTTTTTATCAGCTTTTTTTACAGTTGTCTTAATGGGCTATGTTAACTTATGGGGTACTTTCTCAAAGATGAGTTGTTTAAAGGTAAAAGTTTTCATTTCTATCTTTAAAATGATCTTTATCTCTGGGAATAGACTTTTTTTTTTCTCTCCCTAAAGACAGTATTCTACCAAAGAGATGCTGACGGCCCGTGATCAAAGATAAAATACCTGTACTCCACATGAAAGGGGCAAGCATATGAATATCACCCACCAAATTCTCCAAATATCATATATATATATAAATAGTATATATTATATATAATATATATTTATTTAATACATATAAATAACATATTTTATATAGAATATAATATATATTATAGATATGGTATATACATTTTCTCTATTATATTATATATATTATGCATTATAATTTATATAATATTATATAATAATTATATATAACATATGATGTATAGATAGTATTATATATTAACATTATAGATAGAGGATTATTATATATCTCTAATACTATAGATATAGACATTATTTTTAATATATATAAAAAATTGTTGTTATTATTATTATATTTTTAAATCAATACTCTTCCAAACAGTATTATTGATTCTGCTACATGGGAAGAAGGACTTTGATAATTTCCAATCCATGCAACTTCCAGCTCTGCTGTAAGCTACAGCAAACCCAAAACACAGCCAGCAGCAGTTTTTGGAGTGGACACAAAACCCCCACAGCACCAGCTAAGGGAACAAACTGCATCCTTTGCACGAGGTGCCACCACCTCCTCAGCACTCCCAGGGGGCTGCAAGGAATCCTTTCCCTGAGGTAATGCAGAAATGCAGCAAAGTTTCTGAATTTGTCTTAATTAAGAGAAATAATAATAATAATAATAATGATAATGATATTGATAATGATAGTAATAATAATAGTAATAATTTGTTATGACTATTGACAAGTGAGGCTAGAAGCAGCACATGACACGAGGACAAGCGGAGCGAGCGCAGGGGGAGATTTCTCGAGCGCCCTAATTCAATTAGCAGGCAGTGAGTGACACTGGGACAGGAGGGGTTAATTGGGGTCACCAAAAGGCAGTAATTCCTTACCTAACCAGTCATTAAACTTCTTAACCTCAGAGGGCAGTCCCAGCTCGGTGAAGTCGCCCGTGTGGAGCAGGATGTCCCCGTAGGGCATCTGGATGCCATCTGTTCTGGAGTGCGTGTCTGAGACGCAGACAAAGCGCGTGTGGCCCGCTGGCTTTGGAGTGTCATATGGGATGGGGTCGACCCTGGAGCAGACACAAAGATCCCACAACAGTCACAAGGTTCAAAGCCTCACATCCATTATTGCAGTAGCAGCACGCTGCTCCCTCCAGGAGAGCAGCCGCGCGTCCACTGACTCACGCCGCGCGCTGCCAAAAACCCAGCGCTGCTAAAAACTTACCTGGTGAGGAAAGGAAGATGAAATACAAACGAATATGGCTATTCTGTGGTACTAAAGTGTGTTCAAACACAGGGAAAAATGGATTTAGGAGGCTTTGAGTTGGGATGTCTTACATCCTGTGCCTTACACATGGACAGGTACAGGAGCCATGGGATACCAGGTCAGCCAGGTGGTCCACCTGAGCTCAGCTGTCACACTCCCATTTTCTGAAAAATCCCTTCACCCAGGATTTTTCTCCTGGAAGCTGAGAAGCCTCAGAGAAAAAGGAAAACAATAATTATCTCATTTGCTTCTCTTGTGTTTTGCTCCTTTGGACTGTGGTTGGAGATTGTTTATCCAACAGGTGATTATTTCATTGGTTTCATGTGAATTGTTTTCACTCTTCGGCCAATCAGGGCCAAGTTGTGTCAGGACTCTGGAAAGAGTCACGAGTTTTCATTATTATCTTTTTAGCATTCTGTCTGTATCCTTTCTGTATCCATTAGTATAGTTTAGTATAGCTTTCTTTAATATAATACAGTATCATAAAATAATAAATTAGCTTTCTGAGAACATGGAGTCACATTCATCATTCCTTCGTGTCACGGGTGTCCCAGCAAATACAACACTCAGCAGCTGATTTTGTTCAAGGGCACAGGTTCTCCTACAGATCCCAGCACAGAGCATTTGTTTACACACAATAAGGTACATTCAGGAGTGCTTTGATGGAGGCTGGAAACTGCAGAACTAAGTCTAGTGGCAGCTTCCTAAACTCAAACAAAATCCTGAGCTCATCATCGCAGAATCTATAAAGTCAGGACTGATGTGTTATCACACATATAAAACTTTTTTTTCTATAGCCAACAATGCTGGGAAAATTTAGTTCAATTGGTTGTTTGTGAACTGCATTTGGTAATCTTATCTTATCAGCTACATGCGACCCATCATGGAAGTCTAGTCATTTGGTTTTTGGTGACTTTTCTTTTAAGCACAATAGAGGAAAAAAATAGGTAGTTGAAATGCTTTATGCATACTTAGTGCTTAGAAGCTCTAATTTGTAACAGAAAAACTTAAATACAAAAGACAATCCATTGCCTACTTTGGAATAGCAAATATTTCTCTGCAGAGTTACCATAATTTGATTTGCTCAACACTTGAATAGCACAGCGTCTGGATTAGTGCCACAGAAAATCCCATCCCAATCCCACAAAACTTCAGTTCGTTCCATTGATGTGCCACTTTGATCATGGTTGGAGCTCAGCTCCAGCTAGAAATGTTGAGGTATTGAGGAGTTATGTCAGAATAATAGTGCACTTACATCTCAAATTATCAGGCTAGTGGAACCAAGCTCCAGCTACTTTAAAGCATCCCAAAATAATGCTGTTTAAAGATTTATTTGGGCAAACTGGCGCAACAGGCATTCAAAAATCGGTGCCTGAAAATTAGGCTAAAATTAAACAATAATAATAAAACTAATGAACTAATAATAAAACCTTTAAATGGGTTTTATTACTTGTGCTCTCCACACTGAAAACAAACACCAGTAGACATCATTGTGAATTTGTTTGTCCTAAATCCCCACAGTTATGATGAGATGTATGGTCAGTAATAGAAAATAAAGCACAAAACTTGAGAAAATACTGACTTTTGAAGTATTGCTTTTTTTTTACTGAACTGTAAACTAAATTAGCATTTTGTTTTTGGTGTACACTGAACTGTGTGAAAATTTCTACCAGTGCCTTGAACTTCAGCTCCCTGCACAGGTGAGAAATACCAGAAGCATCCTCCAGGGTGCAAATCAGTTCCCTGCCCTGCGGAGTTTTAGAGTGGCTCCAGAAATCAGATTCCATATGGATATGTCCTGGTGTCCAGTGGAAAACTGGCCCTCTGAATGCACTTACTAACAAGATCTTACTGAGCTAGAATTTAATTTTGTTGGCATTTTTAAATTATATTAATTCATTATTTTAGATATTATATATATTATATTACATTAATATATACTATATATACATATATATAAATATATATTATATTAATTATGTATTCTATTTGTTAGACTATTCACAGCAAAAATAATAGTGGTGGAAGCACTAGGGGGGAAATATTTGATAGACTACCTTTTCCTAGGTACCATAATTAGGTCTTTCCAATCAAGCTGTATTTACCATCAAATGCCATACCTTGTTGACACAGGCCACTGAATTAATTTGCAAAATTCAGGCTCTCCAAGATGATGCTTACTTTAAAAACAGATTCTACTGCCAGCTGGACTGGAGAGCAGAGAATTTGGTGGATGACTCTTCCTGGGGTTTAGTATTGTACCTCCTGTTCCACCCAAAGCAGCAGGTACAATTACCTGAGCCATGAAACTGTTACCACTGCAGAAACCCAGGAGAAAAATCTAACAATCAATGTATTTTTTTTTTTCTCAGCAAGGGTTTGAAATTAATACAGTTATTATTCCAGAGAAAAATTAATTTACCTATTGAAATTGCACTGGCATGCTGGGCAGAACTGCAATCCTAGTGCTTTCCTACATGGTGTCTTCCTTCCAAAATATGGGGGTCCCCTAATCAACATTTCCCTACTTCCCAGCATGTTTACTCCAGACAGCACAAAAAATGAACACCAGCTTTCAGCAGCAGCACAGAACTTGTTCAGAGCATCTCTGCTGGAGCTAAACCAGCACTGCCTGCCTGGGGAGCCCAATTTTGTTTGTACACAGCAGCCAGGCTTTGCTCTTCTCTGCAGCTTCCAAACAAACCCTGGTCTGCGTTAGAGTATGGCTGAAACCTGGTTTGGGATTTTTCCATTCGTGCCATGACTTACAGAAAAGTCTATCATCAAAATTCAATAAGTCCCTGACCCTTCTTTCTCTCCCTTACAAACACTCTGATGTTGCCAAGTAACCTTTTTTCCACATCTTAACTTCCTTCTCTCATTCAGTATTTCTCTACTATTTCCAAGTGAGATACTGCAGGTGACTGTGTTCAGTCCATCCATTTATCATACTCAGAGCAGTCCTTCAATAGAAACTTAATAAAAGTGGTGTTTTGCCAGTGCTAAAGGCTCAAGTTTTCTTTTCACCCATGGCAAACAGCAATAGGAGAGCCTCCTTTCCCACTGCATTCCAAGAGGATTGGACTCTGCAGGCAAGGCACTGCCCTGCCACAGCTCTGGTGACACCCATTTCTCCGATCTACCTTCTTCCTTTTCTACTTTCACCCTTCTTTCTGATCCACTCACAACCCAGCAGCCGGGGGCTGCACACTGAAATCTCTGGGACAGTTCTGCATCTGAGCCTTCCTGCAGATAAAATAATAAGTAATAAAATAAAATAATAATTTTGGCCCTAATAATTGTAATTAATCCAAATTATTTATGTCCACCACCATTCTGCTGAATCAGAGCACGTACCTAAGAAATTCAACTTTGTCTTTACCTTTGCTCCAAACACAGTGCATCCAGCTAACTCTGACACTCTCCATCACCACCAACAATTTGGTTTTTTCAGTCTTTTTGACATGGCAGACTGAAACACTTCACAGATTATTTGATTACTCCACTTGGAGCAGCGTGCTCAAGGAAAGATGCAGTAAGAGATATTTCAGAATAATTTAAATGTTCATATATTAGGATTAATACAGTAATCAGGAGATAGGAAACAATAAAAGATATGTTGCACCTTAAAAAATCAGGCACCTGGCTGGTTTTTAAAAAGCATTTGTAAGACCCAGAACGAAATCCCATAAGGCAGCTGAGCAATGACTGCTGTGTGAGATCACGACAGTAATGTAAGATCTGTCACGTTTATTGCATTTATGACAAGGGTCCAGCACTCAGAAGGGACAATGTAACCTTCATACACTTCTACAAGAACCTTGTTTATCAGATAAATACTTTACCAACCTGCCCTTAACACCGGTGGTTCTCACTTAGAGTCTAAGAACCCCTCAGATTTGCAAAGTATGGGGGTTCCTGCAAAATATGCATTTCCTCCCACCCTGCCTGAAAGGAGAGCACTATGCAGGCTCTGATTTGGCTTGCTCAGGTGGCATTCAGCAAGGGTCTGAAATTTTAGATATTATATATATATATTTTTTTTTAAATATATATGTTATTACTATATAATATATATTATATAGTAATCTATTATATATTATTATATATTATATAGTAATATAATAATAATATATATAATATATTATATACATTACATATAGTATATATTCTATATATAATATTATAATATATAAATAATATATATAATATATAATTATTATTATATATTATATAGTAATATATATATATATATTATATAGTCCCTTATATAGTCCCTTATATATATATATATATTATATAGTCCCTTCTCCCTACTAATATATTATAGAATTATAATATATATTATGAATATTATATATCCCTAATCTTTGCAACTGATTAAGGATATATTATTATATCCTTAATCTTTACAACTGTCATTTTAAATTTGTTTACTTGCAAGATGTGCACAAAGAGAGTGTTGTTCTTTTTAGCCACTCTAAGTACACTATATGTGCACAAGAAGAGTGTTTTTCTTATTACCCACTATTAAGTACACTATATGTGTACAAGAAAAGTGTTGCTCCTGTTTTCCTGTGCTCAGGATAATAATGTGTTGTTCCTACTTCCTGTACTCCTGTACTTACTGGGTACATCTGTGACTCAATTTGTGGGTTCATTTTTTATGACATCTAAATAAGTATTCACTATGCATCCATTTAAGCTTAAGGCTTCAAGTCTGTGTGCCACATCAAATCCATGTGTGTTGGATGGATTTTTTTACTTTTTTACTTCTAAGATGTGTACAAGAAGAGTGCTGCT